ATTGTTTGTTGTACGGGGATCGTTGGCCTTTTGTGATTATCTTTTCTGAGTGCATCAGTGTTTCTACTACGAGTCAAGTAATCGATATGCCGACTAGAAAGATTTGCAAACTAATCAATCAAATGAACAATTCGTAAACTAAAGAAAATGTAACACTCGCGCCCACAATATTGATCAGTCTACAAAACATCACCCAGACGAACACCAACTCCGCCCCACTTGTCATGTTCCCTCCTGCTATTTGCAGATATTTCTACATTTAAGTGGAAGTGGATTTTGCAAAAATGAATTGACTGCAGTGAAAATGGGATGTGAAAGATTCCATTGCTCTTGAAATCTGTTTCCAATCATTCAAGGAAACATAACTCAAATTACACTTCCGGTGTCAAATGAGACAGATATCAACAGGCTTAGATAGATAGATAGATAGATAGATAGATAGATAGATAGATAGATAGATTCATGAAACAATTGACTAAATACCATCAATTTTTATATTATATCTCAGATTAATAACATACTTACGTAATGAAAAATATTCTAACATAGAAAATATTCTTACATAGAAATTAATCTTTTAGAAAATTTGAATTTTATTGTTATAAAATGGAATTTTGCGTTGCAGTTGTTAGCGCACTCTCTTGTTTAGTGAGTTAATTTTGCATTGGCTCCTTTATTAATAATACTTTGCACTGAAGATTGTATGTTCAACAGATATCTGAAATTGTCTCATCGTATTTTGAAATGAATATACTATGCATAAATCATTATCGATCGATCGCATCAAATTTTTGACTTTCACTTTTTTCTCACATTTTAAATTAATATTTCCACGATGATGTTAAGTTTTAATTACACACTTTATTGCCATCGGAAATATAAGAGCTCATTCCTTTTCAATACAAAATCTAAAAATGCTTTGATATTTTGAGCGAGTTTTATGTAAAAGCAACATTTATAAATATTATATATATATATATATATATATATATATATATATATATATATATATATATATATATATATATATATATCAAATGTATATAATATAAAAGAAAATAAGATTTTTTTATAAAAATGAAATTATGAAAAAAAGAAGAATTTAAACGAATATATGATTGCGAGCAAGACTGTCAGCATAATACGAATTCTATATAATAATGAATAATGTAATTATTAGGCAATTTACTGTTTTATAAGAATCATAGTTTTATGACATCGATACAACTCTGTGATGTTGAATAGGTATTGTTAAAAATGTTCGTTTCTTTTGTAAAAATGCCTACAAAAGAAACCATCCTTTTGTCAAAACAACTTAACGAATATTTTATTGTTTCAGTGACATAAACAAATCGCTGACTTTTTCCCACCTTGTGAATTGGGATATTAACCTGAGAAATTATTATGCAAACCAAAACAGATATAGTTCTAGCTTTTTAGTAAATTGCACATTTTATGAACAACACATTTTAGATCATTTTTAATGAAGCTTTACACCTGACATTGCACGTTGAAACTTTTTCATATCTTTCTACAAAATTCTTAATTGAATTTAATTGAAATTAAAAAAAAAAATCTTCCAAGTAGTATCGGTGATCAATATCAACATATCAGTATTTTTAATGATTCGCCTTATTTTTATAATCACAGATAAATATCTTGATTAGGGTGAGTGAGTTGGGTCACGAGATTCAAACTCAATTGATTAGAATACCGTTACATCAAATATTGTATTTGGATAAACCTTGTTTAAAAAGAAACTGCTTTACTTATTAGAAAGATCCTAATATTTATTTGGACATTCAAATCTTGGATAAAGTCAACTCTTAGTAATATTCAAGTCTATCCTAAAATTAAACTCCTGAAAAATGGTTTTCATTTTATAAAGATTAATGTTGTGAAATCATATAAATTATATCTAATTCACATTGCGAATAAATGATCGGTAGCTCACCATGATCATTTTCAACGTGAACCAAGTAGCGAGTTATTGAACGAGAGACGCCTTTCTGGTCAAATCTCTTATCATCCAACTCATCCTTAATGCAGCTTCAATAACATTCATACGATGATCATTTGTCGCAGTCAAAATCTGCAGAAAAGTAATCTCTTTTATTTCATTCATTATTAATTCAACCCAATTTTATCACACATCTGATTCAAAACCACACAAAATTGGATATAGCCGTGAAAAAGTAATTGTATATTAAGCCGTGAGAGGACCCAAGAGAGTATTATACACTTGCTTCATTCGAATTGGTGTCCTCACTTGTCCAATTGCTATAGTCACAACGTTTCGGCCTTCTTCAGATACTTATCATATTAAGCAACGTTCTCGAAACTGAGAACATAACACTTTAGTCAGTTCATTGGTAGTAGTCTGTTTTCATTCTGCTTGTCCATTGCAGGGGATAATCTCTTATTAACTCATCCTTGTGATAATACCGTTCTTGCTTGTTTTCGGTTACACTTTTTGTTTAAATGATCTCGCCGATGTAAGGATTATCAGTAATTTTCTTGTCTGTCTAATAATGCTTCCAATTTGTCTAATTTAAAAGTTTTCATAGTATTTAAATATCCATCCCTAATATCTTTCTATTTAGTTAGGTCTCTGCCATGAAAGTTTGTTTTCAGTATTTGATTATATTTACCTATTTTTCTTATTATTATATTTACCCATTTTCTTTACATGTTTTCCTGCAATAGACTCTCTTTTTGACACGCTTAAGGTTTTATACTGGATATTTCTACATAATATCCTGATTATGTAATTCATTTGAACATGTCTTATATGGCACACGCTTTTCTACACTCAATTCCATTACAATGTCATTGCCGAAATTAATATCATTTTACTTTATTACTATTATTATTATTACTATTATTATTAGTAGTAGTAGTAGTAGTAGCAGCAGCAGTAGTAGTAGTAGCTATTTTTACGGCGTTGTGCGGTCCAAGTTTTTTTTCCATTACTCTGATACACTACGCGATTGCTTCTTAGAGAAATGTGTGTCTGTTGTAAATAGCATTAACGAAATTGTTTGAATTAAAACACTTCGATAGGTTTATATTTCAGTTTTATAATTCATAATATTTATTAGATTTTCAAAATATTCTATTATAAAATCTCAACTTTACTTATTTGCCTTTAATAACATTGCCTACTCGCCTGTGATGTAAAGGCTAAATTGGTCATTATTATCAATATATAAATCACTAAGCAATTTAATTAGGAACCTCATCAAAAAACAATCGTTTCTTTATTAACATCATAATAAAACCAGATTGAAAATGAAGAATAATACCCGTTATTTTAAAATTTATTTTTAAAACTGAAATTTTCTCCAATGATCAAGAACTGCCAAGTTAGGTAAAATATAAGTAAATATCAAGGTAAGTAAGAAAACTCTATTTATCTGATATCGCAGTTTTAATTAATTTTCCAGGGATTATATCGGACACGCATATAAAGTATGTTTTTTTATATTAGATTAGACGGAGCCGGGAAAATTCTACAGGTTTTCATCGCTAAAATTTTGAATTTTCATGCATATTCTAATGATCGCCATTATTCCTTTTAAACTAAAATGTTATACAAACATGGATTAGTTTCATATGCAAAAAAGAAATGAGGAATTCACAAACACATTCTGTTGAGCCTCTCTTATTTTTCTTTTGCTTCATCTCTCCATAAATATTTTAATGTCTTGCAATTTTGTACGTTTTTCCATGTCTGTCTTTTAATCATTTCTCTATTGTTTCTTGATATTCAATTAACAATCCTGTCTTCATGCATGCACCCCCACTCTCTTTCTTTCTTTCTTTCTTTCTTTCTTTCTTTCTTTCTTTCTTTCTTTCTTTCATCTCTCTCTCTTTCGTTATCTCTTTCTTTCTATCTCTTTCTTTCTCGCTCTTTCTGTCTTTCTCTCTCATTCTCTCTTTTCGTTTTTCACTTTCTTACTTTTTATCTCTCACTTTCATTCTCAATCACTATCTCTCTCTCTCTCTCTCTTTTTCTTTCTTTCGCTCTCTTTCTGTCTTAGCGTACCGAACAGCCGTCTATAAAAAATAATAGAACATATTTATTCTATGTTCTTATTTGAAAGAGCAGCACCACCAGAAAAGTGACGACGGGATACAAATATACGAAGCCCAGTATCTTCATAGGTAACCATTCTGATATGTCTGACATGCAACATAGTCATGATGACAGGTTTTGCTAAAAACAGCGCACAACCTTGTAGATGGGGACAGTTAGAAATAACTTCAAGTCGGGTAACCCATTTCGTTCAGACGGTCTCCGAATGAGGATTTTCCCCAGTATCTAGATGTGACTCCCAAGTCGCTTTGGCTAACTCACTATTCATATAAAAAACAAAAAACAACAAAAAAACAATGAACAAGTCCTCTTGAAACCAAGACATGAAGCTCTCCTATTATTATTGTTCATAAACAGAACAACGTCAGCAATGAAGGTAAAGAAAAGTGACAAGCAAATCTGTGACACTGTAACCCGGCTAAATTAACCAAGGCAAAAAATGTACACGATACATTTGCAATCAATTAGGAACAGAAAGCTAAGAAGCTAAGACACTCAAGCCTGGGAATTATTATTATCATTATTATTATTTGGTACATTTTTTTTTATTATTTTTGAAGGAATAAGCATTTGAGATTATTCAGTGTTCCCAAAGATTCTCTTAACTGGATATTTTTTATTATAGTTGTTTTAGTGGATAGGTATTGAATAACTGTTTCTATATCCCTCCAGTGTATTAGGAAGAATATTATTTATTTTTTATTGATAAAGGCGAAACGCTATCACTATCCTCATTGTGTTCTTGATTTTATGCTGACAATTTTTGTGTTTTTTGTTTCAACGTTTTTGCGAGTTTTATGAAATTTTGAACAAAGAAAAGGAAAAATAATTTATGAACCTTTTTTTTTTTTAAACTGGGATTAAACAACCTTTTCACTAAAAAATAATACAAACTTCATTAATGATCATGGTAACAAAAACAAATACTTGGAAAGAAATATCATATTTGATACTTTATTCCTTTCCAATAATCAATTTTATTATATCTATCTATCTATCTATCTATCTATCTATCTATCTATCTATCTATCTGTGTGTGTGTGTGTGTGTGTGTGTGTGTGTGTGTGTGTGTGTGTGTGCGTGTGTGTGAATTTATTTATTATAATTCTATTTATCGTAAATTCTCTTCCAATTCTCTCCTGTCACATCTGGAGTATATTTGTCAGACGATCCACTTAGAAATAGAGCCTCTATTATGTGATATGCAGATAATTCCGTCCATAGTTTCTGCTATTATCTCTATAGATCCCCACAAAGCATGGGAACTTGATAGTATCCCTGCAATAATCCCTTAAGAAATGTGCTCCTGAAGTGGCACCTGTTCTCACTAAACTCTACAATAAATGCTTTGCTGCTTCTTGCTTCCCTGCTTGTTGGAAATACTTTTATGTAGTTCGTGTCATTAAGAACTCATGCGATTCTTCTAAGTATTGGACTCATAGCCATTACCTCTTTTTGGCAAAGTAATAAAAACTCTAATCCACCCAGAATTGGTTAAGCAGAGTCTTACAAGCAATATGACTTTCCCTTCTCTAAGTCAACTACTGATGTATTAACAATTCTTGTCGAAAGAGTCTGTCAAGATTTAGATAAGAATGGTGAAGCTGTTGCTTTGGATATCTTGAAGGCATTTGACAGGGTTTGACATGATGGTCATCTTCGCAAGTTGAAAGACTATAGTATTTCTGGACAGATTTTTCATCTGATTCAATCTTTCTTATCAAATTGAAAAACTAAAATTGTCTTGAACGGTCATACTTCTGGATCATTTTGCATTAATGCAGGTGACCCCAGGGCTCTATCCTTGGAACTACGTTCTTCCTAATTTTCATTAACGACCTTCTCGATGTCCTCAGTTTTCAAATCGGTATCTATGCTGATGACATACTTATTTACTCCCATCTTAATAGTACATCTGATCGGTTCAATAAGGTCAAATTGGCAACTGGTAATTAATTATCTACAATTTTTTTATTAACTGGGGCAAGTAATGACTTGTTAATTTTAACGCCTTCAAAACGAAACTGCTCTATTTTAATCGCCTGAGAGAACCTTTTTTGTATGGCTAGTGTTTCTGCTATGTGTTCAGAGATTCTCGATAAAATACAAAGAAGAATCTGCAATATTATTTGTTCTGGCATCTCGGCTTCAGTTAATTTCCCACTGTCGTAACGTAGTTTCCCTGTGCCTTTTCTATAAATATTTTTATGGTAATTGTTCTGATAAACTTTCCTTTTTGATACCTAGACTTGATGAATTTAAGTGCAGTACTCGTTTGGTGTCAAAGTTTCATCATTTTACGGTTGAAATGGCTAGATGTAACCGCAAGTTCTATGGTAACAGTTTCTTCTTTCGTGCTTCTCGTTCGTGTGGAATTCTCTTCCGGCTTCTTGCATTCCAGTCAATCCTTATATTTGCTCATTCTCAATAAGGCACTTGCATCTTAGTGGCGTTATTGCCTTGCTTGAAATGAAATGATTAAAAAAACAGAATAGCTTCAAATAACTAATTGTAATTTTATCATTTCATGACTTTGCTTATTATATTTCTGTTGTAAAACTCGTTTGACTCAAAACCAAACAACTGGAACGGTAATGATTATTCTTATACTTGTAAAATCCGCGATATCTCAGTTAAAATTAAATATTTAGGTTTAAAATCTGAGGGTTGATTTATTTGGCATCTTTTTATTTATTTTTATATTCCGATATCGAAATGAAATCACTTTGTTGCAAAATATATGCCACTTCGGTATTTTATAATGTTTTTTTTTATTTGGCGTAGTTTTTTTTTACCGAGAGACAGAAAAAAAGTTGTCTAACAGTGAAATAATTGAAGTCACATCCGTGAAAGTTTGGATTTCTCTCCTCGTATGAGTACAGTACAAATAGTGTTTCTTGGCCAACAAATTCTTTGCCATTGGTTCAAAGAAAAGACTAATAGAATTGATGGCCATTTATGGATATGTTAGATGAAAAATGATGCATAAGTAAAATAAAGGCAGCGATTGAAGAACAGACGTGTGCTTTTGCCCGAAATAAATGCTTCCGGGGAAAAGACAAAATATCGCCCACTCATTTCTCGTCAGAAGTATACAGCATTTGAAGGTAAAAACATGAGATAACAATCATCTTTAAGAAATCGACATCGTTAAGCAAATTAATACTTTCATTAAAAACTAACCAACGAAAAACAAAAATGATCTCAAGATGATACAGAAATTTTATAACGGGTAAAATTAGTTATTTGTGAAATACAAAATATATAAAAATGTTGCAGTAATAAATTTCAAACTTCCAAAGATACTAATCGATTATCAGCAGACTCACATTTTCGATTTACGAATAACACAATGTTTGATTATTAGCCATCCTCTAATACATTGGTGTGGTTTACTTTGTGTTGCTACCAGTCATTGTTACGATTATACGAGACGGTTGTTGTCAACAGTTCAAATATTACAACTGCTTTGAAGGAAACATAGTCTTCATTTATGTATGGTATTTCATGTTTCCATACATCAGATAACACGAGAAAAGATGAAAACATAGACTGGGAAAATATTTATTCTCTTCATTATCCTGGACTTGTTTCATCTGATTTCCAACTATTACGGAGTTTAAAAAACCACCAAGAAGAAATATGACAGTAAAAATATATATATATAGATAGATTCTCACAGCAGAGATATATTTTAAAGTTGAAGATTTTAGAAAAACCTTGAATTTTTTTACAATCTTTTGATATCGATGACCTGGAAAATGTGTGTGTCTGCGTGTCTCTCTCTCTCTCTCTCTCTCTCTGTGTGTGTGTGTGTGTAAAGAAAGGGGTGCAATGGAATAAAAACATATGGATTGCATTGCAAGTTTGAGGCTCGTTGCAGTTTTATTCTTGGCTCCAATTCCCTTTGCCTGAACAACAGCACCTACCTAACTGTCATAGGGTCTCTGCGCTACTGAAATTGTTGCATGGATATATTTATTCAGGCAATTATTTGTTGGGTGTGACGGCAGCGGATTTAGTAACGTTGGCAACACACACAAGACAAGCTCAACGGGGTTTTTTATCTAGTGAGCAATCGAGTATTTTTGGATCCGGTTTCGTGCTTTAGGGCTAACCACTGGAGAGACTTGCAAATGATATCCAAAAAGACTGTCACACCTATCAATATAAACTCCAGTTTTATTAGTGGTCTTTACAAATAGAACATTCTCCACGCTACTATAGAACTACCACCAGCTTGCACAACATCCTGTCAACATGATGGATCAATAAACCCATACTGTTTTCTCTACGCACAAACTTGACCATCTGCGTAAGAGTTGGAAACCTGACTCCTCTGAGTAGGTGACGCATTGCCTGGATTCTATGAAGCAATAGCAATATTCTCTGGCTCAGATTAGTCGTAGTCACCAATAAAATAAAATAATGACTTAATTAAATGGTATTCATTCTGTGCCGTTCCTTTATTTATAGGTTGAACCTTATCAGTGCTGATTTGTTATATTATTGATGCATTGTTTCTCTTCGTTGTGTGATTACCATTTTTGTCAGTCGTCGTTGGTTCCAATCTTACATCCCCCGTGAGCTTCCGCATTTTCCACGTTCGGCTGATATCTGTACTGAATTCACTTATTCCTGGTATACCTTTCCGCCTGAGAAAATCAAGATGGAATATTCCATTTTTATAACACCAACAATCATTCCCTGGTCAAATGATGTTAATTCTTGTCTACATCCCATGTCTGCAACAGCTAGACTGTCACATATATAATACGTCTTTACCTATTACGAGACATATACATCATCTATTTCTAAAAGTGGGAAAAGCTGATACAATCCGGCGTATTGCTGTCTGCATTTTTTGACACTTTTGACCAACCGTTATAGAAATTCCAACGAAATCAGGAAAACAATGATACGCGTTTGGATTGTAACTATTCTTTTAATCGAGAAAGAAAAGGAAATATCCAAAATAATGTAAATCTTAATTTCTTAAAGTATACGTATAATTAATTTCTTGAAATTGTCGGAACAGTTAGAGTTGCACATATACATACAGACAATATCATTTATAGTAAAAATATGGTAAATTATCAGGACTTATATTTAGCAAAAATCAGCATATGTGGAGATAAAAATGATAAAATAAAATATATGTTGATTATACTTTATCAAATCAGTGATATCTCTGAAGTATTTTTCGTGTGACCTTATATTCATGAAACACATCGATGTGTATTCCACATATGAGAGTGAATATGTGAACGCTTTTATTTACCCCGACCACCGTAAATATTAAGTTTCGGATTTATGTTTACAAAATGGTGCATAATCATTTGTGTAGAATACATTTAGCTATCATAAATTTATTACTTCAGATAGAAAGATGTTTCTGTTTTCTTGTTTAAGGTTTTACAGTGAATCAGAGATGAAGAAATTAAATAAAAAGCCGCAAAATTTTTTCAGTTTTCATGAAGATTTTCGGGACTGATCTAATTAACTTTAATTTGATAATTCTTTCATTGGCAAAGTCTCCAGGTTCCAATAAAGAAGGATGGATATTAAAATAATTGGTTGCTTTACAAAGTACATTAATATAAGAATTCTAAGATAAAGAGAAGATAATTTATTACGTACTTGTAGAGCTTTTTCGGTTATTAATCCAAATATGAAAAAAAACCCTCTCCCACCTATTTGCTGTCATTGGAATCTAAACCCATTAATATATCATCGAGTGTGCAGTCCTCATAGATGGGAAACTTATTCTATTTTTTATTTTTCGATGGCTTTGTATATCATGGAGAATTGCCAGCGAAGCCATCATGTTTGCTTGACTAACTCTATGAACTACTAATACCTTTTGATATCATAAATTTGAACCGACTGACGGTCGATTTTTGTATGGAACACTCAGTGATGATCTAAGTCACTACTAATTAGCAACCAGACTAAGAATTCTAAACATTGCCACACGTTTCCTTCATTGGTATGAAATTAGAAATAATTACTTTTTTAGTTATGCACTTAAGTATATTTTCATGATCATGATCTACCAAGGAAACCAGATGAATATATATATATATATATATATATATATATATATATATAGAGAGAGAGAGAGAGAGAGGAGGGAGGAGGGAGGAGGAGACAGAGTAATTTAGTCACGTTTATTGCAGATTTTAAAAATAAAATGGATTAAAAGTGTGAAAAAGTGCTTATTTGTAGATATACTTATGCAAATTAAATTGTATATACTGCCATCTTCCACCCCGCATCTCTTTGGCTTCGTATTTGAAACTGAAATATTTAAATATTTTCCTATTCTTTTAGAACGCTCATATTTTGGCAGTAAAACATTTTGTCATTTTATATCGATGAAAATTATTTTTTTCAATCATAGTCTTTTTATTATGCATTGTTTTAGAAAAATAAAACTTTTGTATGATATTTTCGGAAGTGAGATGAATTGTTATCATCATCATTATCATTGTCATCATAAAAATAAAAAAAAATATTAGAAACATTAATATATTTCATTGAAGATGTTCATGCTTTTGACAATTTGGGTAAGTGTTGTGGCTCATCTTGTAAAGCTATCGATTTTTTTAATTAACTAAATCGATTTGAATAAATATGACTGGTTAAAATTAAGAGCAACAAATGGCAACAAAAACTTTTTCTTTCACAACCTGCAAGACATTAACATACTTGTAAATTCTGATACAATCATTGCCCAGCTAACAGCTGACTTCATATATAATTACGCTGGTATTGTTTAAATAACCGATCCTAATAAAAGTCTATGAAGGTCTTAAAGTAATACTTTGATCTAATAAAATCATTTCATATTCAATAATATAAATATCAAGTTATGATGCTTGTATCGAAGTTAGTTTTTCATTATTTGTCTAGATCAATCGAAACGTCCGCATCAGATAAGTCCCTCGTGTACTTTCAAAAATGATGATAACCAAATGCATTTGTAGATATTTTTTTTATCTTTAAGAAAAGAATAGAAAAATACCGGGTCTGAGGTTTAATCTTCCACAATCTACAAATGAGGCGTATGCATTCCTCTCGGAACAAATTTCTGAAGTCACAACGGACAAAAAAAATCTCTTTTTCACTTATGGCAAGTCTGCTGCAATCATCAAATAAAAACGACTTCAATTGACACCATAGAGAAGTGGGAAATCTTTAGACTGAATAAATTTTAGTACTATTTTTGTACAGTTTAGTAAGTAAAAGTTTTATTCCTCTCTTTGGTGGCATACTAGTAAAATCAAGCGGTTTAAAATACTATTATTACTGATTCCATTTTAAAGAGAGAGAAAGTTGGTATTCGTTTGATGGCCAAAAACTGGATAGATTAGTTAAACCTCGAAGAAGAATCTTTGAAAAGTCTCCTTCCTTCGTTTTACTTGAACTTTGTTAGAAGCTAGAGATTTCTAGAATTAACTCTAGGAATGGAACAAATGATGTATATTTTACAATATAATTTATAATATAATCAGGTGTCAAGGAAAAACATTTAATCGGGAAAACCATGTTCCATACTCTCTGTTCAAGTATATCTGGTTTAAACATTTTGTGGGGATTCTATAGCGCTAAGCTAATCAAACATGGACAACTAATACCAGAATTAAATTGTCTATAATGTTCCTTGGTTGAAGTGATTACTACAGTTATTCCTCTTTCTTTTCCATCTCCCTTTATCCTCCTCGTCATCTATTATTCTTCCTCTCCCTCTTTCTTTTCTTCCTCCCTTTATCCTCTTCCTCATCTATTATTCTTCCTCTCCTTCTTTTCCTCCTCCCTTTACCCTTATCGTCATCTATTGTTCCTCCTCTCCCTCTTTCTTTTCCTCCTCCCTTTATCCTCTTCGTCATCTATTATTCCTCCTCTCTCTCTTTCTTTTCCTCCTCCTTTTATCCTCTTCCTCATCCTACTTTGCCAATGTCGTCGTTGTCATCTATCTACCCAATAACCATAGATGTCTAGTAATCGACGTGCAAAAACAAAATGATCGAAGAATAAAAGTTGTTTAAAAGCTATGAAATCTATGTACAACTTCACAATATTTTGACAAATCTAATTTCTCTGTGTAGTTTTTCACTAACATTATAAAACAGTAAGTTTTTCTACTAAGAAACATCAATTTTATTTGTTTCTAGGAAAGAAATATACCATCATATGCATAACACATAGTTGAATGTACTTGGACATTATACTCGTTACAATCAGAATTATAGAAATTTTAAGATTTTATTTCGGTTTCTTTCACATTTATTTCAAGAGGAAAAGTAATAATCCTCACATACATTGAACCTTTAGCAAATTTTTCACGTGAGCATTTAAATTAATAGTCTAATATAATCATGTAATTATTTTTATCTATTTGTTTTTTTATGGATATCAAGTGACATAAACTCATAAATGTCTTTTTCATTGTATCTGTTTTTTTCCAGAATCAAGTCTAAATTCTTTTTTTAAATTTACGATATAAGTTCTCTTAGTTGTCAACTGAAAACCTACTTTTTATCGATTTGCTTACTTCATCATCAGAGATAGATTATTATTATCACTATATTGTCTAGATTAATATCAAACAAAACTATACCAATATTTGTGCCATGCATTGAATTTTATCTGGGAATTCTGGATTGAATAAAGAGCTGATAATATGCCTCCATATTCATAACTTCCTTTCTGGCTAAAAAAATTACCCGACTAATTTTGACATGAGGCATTTTATGACGTGAAAAGCGTAGCATTTTAAGATTATTGGATGAAATTATTTTATTTTCAGGATTAACAGTAACGAGAGCTGTTCTTTTTTTTTTCAGAATTGAGATCTATCAACAAGTCAAACCAAAATGAGTCAGACTTTGTTTTCTTTTTGTGATGAAAACTGATTTTTTAAAATCAAAATTTAACTTTTGTATTTTGTATCAAATATATTTTTGAAGAGTGAACAAAAGTATATATATATATATATATATATATATTGAAATACAATACATATATATACATATATACAATACATATATACATTTGTATATTGATATACAAATATAAAATTATAAAATTATATATATAAAAAATGAAAATAGCTTGTTAAAACAAGCTATTTTCACTTTTTTTATTTTACAATTTAATATTTTTTCTTTATGAATTGCAACATTTTGATCCGTAATTTTTCTTCTCCTTGTTTTTGGTTCTTGTAGAATGAACAGGCCTAATTTCTCTAAAGCCTTAAATGATAATTATTTTAAAACTTAGTTGATATAGGCTTAAAGGACAATTACAAAGTTACACTTGCTTGGCAATTAGCTGGTTGCTAACCTGGTCGGCTCATTTTAGTTTGGTAAAACCCGTTCAATTGAGAACTATTTGTAAAGGTGTGACGAATAAATGCCTTTTTCCAAAGAAGCAATTTTGTTTAGGTAGCCTTTCTATTAAAAGAAAACTAATTGAAAGATATTCTTTTCATTACTTCATATACTAACCAATACGCATGATATCCAAAAAGTAGAACACGCTAAAGACAATTCCTGAAGATTTCATTTATACTGCACTTAGTGACGCATCTAACTTTCATATTCTAAGCTGTTATTTTTATGCACAAGTAAAAACCTCGTTACAGAATAATGGTTTGCAAGTGAGTCCTTTCATTACTTAATTCTTTGTAAATGTGGCCTTGAGATTTACAATCAACGTTAATTGCGGGAAAAAATGAATATCTCAAGACACAACCATTTTTACATACATACAAATACAAATTTTAATATTAAGCCTACTATGATGCGAAAATTAAAGGTTCTCTGGTGTCGTAGCCCGTGACACACGCCAAAGTGTAGCCCATCTGTCACTATCATCATCACTACTAATACTATTATTATTACTTTTATTATTATTATTAGTAGTAGTAGTATAAATATTATTATTAGCAGTTGTAGTCATTGAAGTAAAATTATTTAGAGATGTTATTGTTGCTGTTGTTGCAGTCGCAAATGTCGCCGTCATTTGGTTTGCTTCATTTGACAGGTTTTCAGGATTTCATCTATATCAGCATGAATAAATTAGTTTTGTAGGAAGTTCTATCTTTTTCAGTTAATTTTCATTCATAACTATAATTATTATTATTATTATTAGTTATTATTGTTAATTTTATTTTCTTCTTTAACAAATTTGTTTAAAAAATATTATTTTTATCAAAATAAGTAATGAGTTTTGCTATTATTCTTTCTTGTTATTGCTTGTAATAGTGCAAGATGGCCGAATAGTTTAAAAAATCAGGAAATCATAAAAATGAAAGCAATGAAACAGTTTCAAATTCCGGTAAATCCAGTTGTTTCTTGTGCTGAAGTAGACATTACATCATATTTTTCGTCACTTTTTGCTACTGTCAGTCATCATGACTTTGTTTTAGTTCTGACATAGCATGTTGAAAGTGGCGAAACTAGATGTTAGATTGCCTCTTTAAGAATCAAGATTGACGTTCTATTCCGAAATAACTGATCATTTAATTTTCTTGTTGGACGTGGAATTGAGTTGTTAAACTATTAATCAAAGTTATTTATTCATTTTTAATTTTTTATTCCATTTAAAACCATCATCATCATCATTGTCACTTCATTCATTTCATTTATATTCTATCACAAATGACATGTACATTTTATAATAATAATCAGTACACAATTATTTTTTTTCTCTGCCTGAAATATCAAAGTAAATTGCATTTTCAGTTACACATTCAGTTATAATATCAAGTATTATTTGTATCGTCGTCGTTGTTGACATGAGAGTTCAGTTCTTTACTTTATGTGACATCACAAGAGATCTTTCATAAAGTAAGCAATTTAAGTAAATTAAGTTTTATGATTTCTGTTTGGTGGCTCAGACAGTAAAGAAATTCCCTTATATCAGTAGTTGTCATTCGAGTCTAGCTAAAGACAGGCCTTGATCACCAATGATATTAGTGCATATTCGGGCGCTTTCAAAATCATAAGTAACCATGTGTTTTAGAGATCTGCATACGTATATTTTACAAGTATAAAGAACATTATGATTGTATCAGTATTTAAACAACATAATTAACAATTGTTAAATGCATGTAAATATCTAATATACGTAAATATATACGTAATATATGTAAAAGGGCTATTATACCATATAAAATAACTAATAGACATGTAAATAGATAATATACCGTCATATGTGTGTACAGATTATTGTTGGTGTGCAAACTTCCAATGGTGACATCAATAAAGCAAAATACAAATGCATTTAATTAGAATCATGGAATTTTGGATTCATGCTTTAAACCGTGTATGAAATTATCTGCAAAAACAATTCTTTATTTGTAAGAAAACAGCGTAAAATGCATTAAACATTTAAAAAATAAAACAGGTATACATACATACACAATGAATTCTCACCTACATCATTTTGATAGTGTTAATTTAATTAGAAAAATAAAAAAAAACATTTTGCATTTTTTCACAGCTTATCAACTTGGTCAGAAGAGGAAATATATGTAAAAGGGATAGTTCTAAAATTTGTGCACAATGTAGACATTTGCTAGGATTAATGATTGAAGAAATGATTAACTATTTATCTATCTTCATGCTTACACACACAGACACACAGACAGACAGTCAGACAGACGCACACACACGCACAAATACACACACACATATATATATGCACGCATGTAAATATGTGCGTTCATAAAGAGATGCGTAACCGTGTTTGTGCACCATATATGTATCTGCAGTCAAGCATACAAAAGTCATCATCATCATTAAACTTATTTCTGATCAACACGATCAGCTAGTGATCTTGGTTTAGATACGTGTTTAGTTTCAGAGTCGAAATCCCCTTTACATTGAAGAAAGAATACTTGTAATCAACTTACCTATTGATATGCGTTTTGTAGACCCCTTAGCTCCGATAGTAGCTCCGGATAGAGTGAGGATAACGAAACACAGCAGAGGGAACGTGCTGGCCGGTGGTAGTCCGATGGCAGGAGCCATCCTGGTTTGTTGGTACCACAGTAGAACTACACGGTGTTGTAATCGTTGTCACTGGTCGTAGGGTCACGCGGAAAAACTGGGATCAGATCCTCCATAGTCTGGGTGGTGCCTTCGTGACGTCACATGCTCGGTGGGAGCCCACCATGTCGGATTTTTCTTCTTTATTTTTTATTCTTTTTGAAGGTGCACTGACGGCTTTAAGGGTGGTTTGTGTTTCTATAGAGGTATGTCTGTAATGTATCTATATATCTAACATATACATATATATATATATACACACATATATATGTATATATATATATATGTAGTTGTATTATTTTTTAGTCTTTTTTCTTATGGGCTGTTGTCCAAAAGACAAGTGTTGCTAGTTTCCTTCCGAGCGTTGTCGGTTGGTCTGCAGCACTGGTCTGCTACTGTGCGAAGATGGTAATGCTTTAGATGCACAGAGAGAGAGTGAGTGATATAGACAGAGCGAGCAACATAGTAGTGGTCTATTAAACGAGCAGCAGTAGCGATAGCAGTGGTCCAAGTAGTTGCAGTAGCATAGTTTTGTCTCTCGAGTAGTTTCTTTACATGGTTTTGTAATTTTCGTAAGGGCTACAAAAAACTAGTTACTACAAACGACTAGAGAAATAGCAATATATAAATTTAGATAGTTCTACAAGGATTTACTGGTAGGTTTGCATTGGTGATTTTCTAACATTTTTATATGTACGTATGTATATATCCTTTGATTAAGAAAAAAACTTACAAAATACCAGTTCCATTTAAACACGCTAATATCGCGATTTTAAGATAAAAGAAAAAGACATTTTTCATTAAAACCAATTACCAGTTGCCTGATATAAAGAAAAGATACTACACTCTGATCTATGAAAAATTCAAGAAATAATTTTACATTATTTCATTTAAAAAATATTCATCATTATCTCAATGATATGTAGGCTTTATTGAATT